GCTTGCACTACCTACTCTACTTCATAAGGTCATTGTGAAGATCAAATAAGACGATGTAATCAATCAATAAATATTTCTTAAGCACCTACTCTGTGCCAGGCACTGTGATACTGGAATACAAAAAAAAAAAAATCAGTCCTTGCCTTGGAGTAGCTTACATTTCTCTCAGGGAAGACAACATGTCTAAGTGTAGGTTTACGCAAAATCAGTACAGTTTTGGGTTTATTTTTTAGACGCAATCAGGGTTCAGTTGTCTTGCCCAGGGTCACACAACTAGGAAGTGTCTGAGGTCAGATTTGAATTTGGATCCTTCTGACTCCAGGGCCAGCGTGCTATCCATTGTGCCACCTAGCTGTCTCTAAATAGTTTTAATAGCTTACACTTGCACTAAAGCTTTTGAGACACTTCATATAAGGTAATCTGGGGGGGAGGCTTAGGAGGGACCATGAAAAGTCTCTTATAGGAAGATAAATTTGAGCTGAGCTTTGAAAGAACTAAGGGATTCTAAGAGGCTAGGGTGAGGAGGGACAGAGGCTAGGCCTTGGGGACAGCCTGCCCAATGGAATGTAGATGTCTTGGGTAGAGAGCTGCAAGAAGACCCAGTGAATTGTTGGAAGGGAAAGTGGTGGATATCGGTCCTGGAAAGGTAAGTTGGAAGCAGGTTGTGAAGGGCTTCAAATACCTTTCTAACTTAAAGTGCCATAGAAATATGAGCTACTCTTACCATCTCAAAGCCCCAGACCTTTCTTTGTCCTTACCGAAGTTCTCAGACCCTTGTTTTTCCCCTCCAAAGTTCTCTTAACCAGCTGTTTCTGTTTGTTTGTTTTTAGGGGATTGTGGTGGCTTCAGGCCAGCTGTGTCAGGTTAGGCTGGGCCTCTCTGGAAAACTACTGCTTGATCTTTCCCTAGGTACCTTGTTGCTTCCTTTGGGGATTGTAGGCAGCCTGGAGGGAGGAGAGGTGTTTGTGAGATGGAATGCTGCATCTCCTTCCTCTGACAGTGTGTGCGTTCATGAGCCTGAATTTTAGGCACCTTCCTCTGCCTCTGGGTGGCAAGATCATCTTCTTACTGATGCCAGGAAAAGCAAGAGTTTATTCTTTCCCCTGATAAAGCCAGGATTGTTGGCAATCTGTGGAGTGAGGTCAGGCAAAGGAAATGGGGGTGGGGGGATGGCCGAGAGGAAGATGGGAGAGGAAGGAGAAAGGCCAGGAGTCCCTGCTGGGGTTTGGGGCAGCCAAGCCCAGAGGACTGGCTGGCTGAGTGTTTGACCAGAGCCGTTGCTAGGAGGCCTGTCTGCCCGCTGGGTGCGTGTGGGGAGTGGGAATGAGGTGTGATGGGGGGGGGGGGGAGGGGAGGAGAGTGGCTGGTGCCCAGCAGTCAGGGCAGGGACATCAGCAGGCATGCTTTTCATTGCTTCTACCTTCCTGATAGAGAAGTTTTACAACCTAGCGAAAATGAGTGGGTAACAAGCCTCTTCCTCCTCCAAATTCCTCTCTTTTACATAAGAGGGAGGGGTGCCAGCTCATGCTGTTCAGTCTAATGGGGAAGAATCCTTCCCTCTAGGTCAGAACATAATGGTTGTTTCAATCCTGGTCTCACCTAACTCCAACACTTTACTACCTCTGTGATGCTTCCCCTCTCTGGGGACTCAGTTTCTTCATCTGTGTAGTGAAACAGTTGGACTAAATAGCCTGTGGAGTCCCTTCCTGCTCTAAGTCTCTGCCCTCATCACCCCAGGCCCGGCCTACTGCAATACCTGCTGCTTGGTCTTCTTGCCTCGAGTTTCCCTGCTCTCTGCGACCTTCTGGATCAAATACAAACCCCTCTGTGTGGGGTTTAAAGCTCTTTATAACCTGTCCCCCCTGCCTTTCCAGGCTCCTACCTCATGCTTCCTCACATGGTCTGCAGTCAGTGATACTGGCCTCCTTGCTCTTCCTAGAACAAGATGCTGCATCTCTTTACCCCTGGCATTTTCACTGTCTGTCCCCTCTCTCTCCTCATCTCTGCCTCCTGGCTTCTCTGGCTTCCTTCAGGTCCCAGCTGAAATCCCACCTGCGGCAGGCAGCCTTTCCCGACCCCCCTTCATTCTAGTCTCTTCTCTCTGCTGATTATCTCCAGTTTACCCTGTCTACAACTTGTCTGTATGGAGTTGTTTGCACATTGTCTTCTCTATTAGTCTGTGAGCTTCTTAAGGGCATGGGCTGTCTTTTGCCTTTCTTTGTATCCTCAGCACAGTGCTTGGCATATAGTAGGTGCTTAATAAATGCTTATTGACTGACTAGTCCTATAAGTGCCACTGGCATTGATCGCTGTGTGGCTCATATGGATAGATCCCTGGCTGTGGAGGCAAAAAGTTTAGTCATTTCAGTTGTGTCTGACTCTCCGTGATCCCATTTGGAATTTTCTTGACAAAGATACTGGAGTGGTTTGCCGTTTCCTTCTCCAGCTCATTTGATAGATGAGGAAACTGAGGCAAACAGGGTCAAATGACTAGCCCAAGGTTACACAGATGTTATGTGTCTGAGGAAGAATTTTAACTCAGGTTTTCCTGATTCTGAGGCAGCTAGGTGGCTCAGTGGATAGAGTTCTGGGCCTGGAATCAGGAATGGGGCCTCAGACAGTTACTAGCTGTGTGACCCTGGCAAGTCATTTGACCCTGTTTGCCTCAGTTTCCTCAACTGTAAAATGATGATCATAATAGCACCTTCCTCGTAGAGTTGTTAGTATCTCAGGAAATACTACACACAAAGCACTTAGCACAGTGCCTGGTGGTGTTGTAGGTGCTTAATCAATGATTGTTTCTTTCCTTCCAACTCAGGGGCCTCAGCTTCCAGTCAACTCAACAAACATTCATTAAATGCCTGATAATGCAATTCATTAAGCCCTGAAGGGCGCTGTGCAGGTCTCTGGGAGGTACAAACTTGAAAAACTTAGGTATTTTCTCTTGCGCCCAAACATAAGTAAGAGGGAGGTGTCAGGGAAGGATTGTGTTGTACAGCTGAAAGAGGAGGCAACATGGGATAGTGTGCAGAGATCCAGCCTTGGAGTCAAGGAGTCCTGGACAAGGCACTTTACCTTTGAGTGTCTGATACAACTTTTTTTTTTTGGCTAGGCAATGGAGTTAAATGACTTGCCCAGGGTCTCACAGCTAGTAAGTGTTATGTGTCTGAGGCCGGATTTGAACTCAGGTCCTCCTGACTCCAGGGCCGGTGCTCTATCCACTGTGCCACCTAGCTGCTCCACTGACACAGCTTTTTAAGACAGCAAGTTGCACCTGATCTTCATTGGTAGAGGGAGTGTCCTCATCTGGAGTTTCCTACAAAGCGCTGACACATATTCCAAGTAGTTGAAAGAGCAGTGGGGTTGGAGTCAGAAGACTTGGATGACATCCTGGTTTGGGGATTATCTAGAGTTGCTCTTTTCCTTACTCCCTATGTGACTGTGGATAAGTCATTTCCCTTCTCTGGGCCTCAGTTTCCTCATGTCAGTCTGGATGATCTTGAAGGTGCCTTTGTTAGCGTCCTGTGATCCTCTGCCATACTGCATTCAGATACCAATCTAGGGGTTCTTTTTGATGGACATGGGCTTCTCTGGCAGTGGTTCATTGGGTCACGGGGTTTTAGAGTTAGAAGGAACCTTGGATGTCATCCAGTCCAACATCCTCATTTCACAGATGAAGAAACTGAGGCCTGGAGGAATTAAGTTAAAAGATCAACCCAGGGTGATGATGTTAGTAAGCTATTGGCCTCATCTGTCACATGAGGGGTCACATGGCAAACCACGCCAGTATCTTTGCCAAGAAAACCCCAAATGGGGTCACAAAGAGTCTGACACAACAGAAACGACTCAACAGCAGCAAACAGGAAGGACTGGAACCCAGCTCCACGGACTCCAGATCTTGGGCTTGGGGCGGAGGGAGAGTGGTGAAGACAGAAATTAGCTACAGAGGGGTTGCTGTGACCACTATACTAATTCCTACTACTACTAACCGTGTGCATTTATATAATGCTTGGAAGTGGCAAAGTGCTTTTCATAAGAGTAGCCCTATGAGGTTGGTAGTGTTAGTATCATTACCCCAATTTTACAGATGGATAAACTGAGACTCAGAAGTGACTTGTCCAAGGCCACACAAGTATTATCCCAGTTCAGCTGGGATTTGAATGCAGAACCCTTTCCATAATACCATGTGGCCTCCCTTTACTTCATTTTAGTTGCCTGGTCCTCAGTTTTCTCGTCTGTAAAGTGAGAGGATTAGGTAAAAAACCTTTCCTGCTCTGTAAGTCATGATTCTCTTATCTTCTTTGCACAGTTTTCTCTCCATGACAGGGGGCAGGATGATCCCTCAACTCCCTTCCCATGCTCCTAAATTGCCTGCATTACAGAAAAGTCTCAGAGCTTCTTCTGGAGAGCTACATACAAGGAATATGATTTCCAAACCTTGCCTGAGATGCTTGATAGTAACAGAAACAGTAATAATAGCTAGCATTTGTATGTGCTTTGAGGTTTGCAAAGTCTTTTACAAATATAATCTCATTTTATCCTCACAACAACCTTGGGAGGTAGCTAAGTGTCCTGTATCAGATAGACCTCCTGCCTCATCAGTGTGGGCACTTCATGGAAAAAGTACAGATTGCAATCCCATGCAGCCTTGGAGATGATGATATTCCATGATTTACAACCGTGTATCCTCACTGAGCGAGTACAGATGTTAAAATAATTTTTGTTTTAAGGAGAAGCTGGGGCCTAAAAAAGACTACACCTTCCAAAGGGTGGATTGCTGGCTCTTCTCCTCCCATTCAATCCAGGCTCTGGTTCATTGTCCCTGCATGAGGCCTGTATAAAATGTGTTACTGATGGATCAGTCCTATAGGTTGTCTATCCAGTTGCATATCATAACGTGGACCCTAAGCCCTCTTCATTCAGAGTTTTCCGAGGCCAAACGCTCAAGTGATTATGTATCTCATGTAGGAGGCTCTGCAGTGGTCTGAAGCTTGATGCCTCAGCATGATGCCATCCATCAACGGGAGCACCCGGAGGACTTCACCATTTAAAGATAATTTCTCTTCCATTTAGATTTTGTACGGGACATCTTCCATGACATCGGCAAACGACTTTGGGTGAGAGTGCATCATGTTATTTTATCCCTTTCTTGAAATTAATATTCAGAAGATTGAGTTATCTTATTTACATCTTTCATGCCATCCTGTGTGATTGACATACACATGGGAGACAGTTTGTTGGGGAAGAGCATTTAAAGCCATATTTTGTTCTGCTGAATCTAGTGGAGTTGGTTTTTTTTTTTTATCATCAACAAACAATAAGCGCAGTGGAATATTGTATTCTGTAAACCTTTCAACCAATTGTGTGACTGTTACAGAGTATAAAATGTAGATGTGGCCTGCTCTCAATTATTAACTGTAAAAGTCTGCCTTTTCCCTTCTTGTATATGTCCCCAATATTTTTGTGAAAATTTTTCTCATAAAAATTTTATAGAGATGGGGAAGATAGCATAGAGGTCACTAGTTATTAATATTCTTGGATACCTTTTTTTTAAAATTAAATTTTATTTTGTTTTCAGTTCTGAATTCTCTTCCTCCCTTTTCTCTTCCCCTCCTTATTGAGAAGGCAAGAAAAATGAAACCTCTTTAAAATATGTATAGTTGAGCAAAACAAATCTTCACGTTGGCCATGCCTTCCCCCCCCCAAAAAAAACAAAGAAAGAAAGAAAAGAAAATATGCTTCAATCTACACTCTGAGTCCATCACCTCTCCATCTGGAGGTAGATAACATGTTTCATCCTGAGTCTTTTGGGTTTTTGGTTGGCTGGACACCTTTTTTAATGGAGAAATGAATTTGTTAACTGAAATCTTTATAGATCTTTCCCAATTTTTGTCTGTTCGTTGTGTTTCTAGTTTTATCTGTAAATACTCACAGAATAAACTGGCTCAGTTGAGTGTCTTGCTTAATAAATACATTTTTATTTGAATTTTTGAATTTAATATGTTTATTGAAGAGATTCATCCCCCCCCCCCCCTTTTTTTTTTTTTTTGCTTTTTGAGTATAGCTGACAGTGGCTGCTTCTGGAGGAGAGGGCCTGATATGACTGATGTGTTTGAGTACTAAATGGTGAGCCCCACTATCATAGCAAGGGCCCCTGCCTGACCTTACTGATGCCAGGAGACTGAAAATTGCCTGGGTTGATTCATCTACTAGACTTGAGCTATTCTTCCAGGTTTAAACCAGGTTCTGAGTCACATGACTTTGAAAAGTTCTCCAAAGGGCTGAATGTGTCCAGCACTTTGTAGCTGAACTTGTTTCACACATTGGCCCATGGCCATTGTCAGAAAGTCAGTCCTCCAGCCCCTGCTCACCATGGCCAAGCTTTCTTTAAATTTATTTCTTACTCTGGACTCTCATTATTTTTTGAGGTTATACTCTTCCTAATGTTTAACCATTTTCCTTTCAAGTTCATGGTATGAGGCAGTACTGCCCTTGCTTGGTTCTCAGATCTCTCACTGAGCAAGGATATCAAATGTTCATGAACAATTTCTAAACTCTCGTTCTTCTCATCATGATGGGTGATTTACATAGATTAAACTTCCTAGACATGCTGATATGGTCAATGTTCCTCGCAGATTGATTCCAGAGCATGTTGTCTTTATCTTCTTGACCCCATTTGGGGTTTTCTTATTTTATTTTTATTTATTTATTTTTATTTTTTTCGAGGCAATTGGAGTTAAGTGACTTGCCCAGGGTCACACAGCTAGTGTCAAGTACCTGGTCTGAGACCGAATTTGAGCTCAGGTCCTCCTGACTCCAGGGCTGGTGCTCTATCCACTGTGCCACCTAGCTGCCCCTTGGGGTTTTCTTGACAAAGATACTGGAGTGATTTGCCATTTCCTTCTCCAAGTCATTAAACAGATAAGGTAACTGAGGCAAACAAGGTTAAGTGACTTGCCCAGGGTCACACAGCTAGTAAATATCTGAGGCCAGATTTGAACTCAGAAAGATGAGTCTTCCTGGACTCCAGGCCTGGTGCTCTGTGCACTGTGGTGCCACCTAGCTGCTCACCTGGCACAAAGTAGGTGCTTAACAAACGCCAGTTCCCTTTTTCTCCCTTCCTCCCTCTCTATGTTCTAGCCAAGCTGGTCTCCTTGCTGTTCCCAGCACAGGAGACTTTCATCTATCTCCCCTATGTGTGTCTTCTCAAAGCCAGGTCTCCCACATTCCACCGCATGCCTAGAGCCCTCTCTCTCCTCATCTCCACTTCTTGGAATTCCTGAGCTTCCTTCAAGGCTTATCTCCCGTCCTGCCTTTTTCTTTTAGTGTGCCCGCATCACCCCTCCTTCCCTTGAAATGATTTTGTATTTATTTTGCATATTTCACATTTTCTCATCTATATTAATTTTGTTTTCCCTTAGTAGAATGTGAGCTTGAGGTCAGGGACTGTTTCATTTTGGTCTTTGTATACTCAACACTTCAAAATTTTGCAAAGGACCAGGCACATAATAGGTGCTTAATAAATACTTTTTTATTTGAATTTTTGAATTTAATATGTTTATTGAAGAGATTTACCCCCCCCTTTTTTTTTTCTTTGCTTTTTGAGTATAGCTGACAGTGGCTGCTGCTGGAGGAGAGGGCCCGATATGACTGATGTGTTTGAGTACTAAATGGCGAGCCCCATTATCATGGCAAGGGCCCCTGCCTGACCTTACTGATGCCAGGGGACTGAAAATTGCCTGGGTTGATTCATCTACTAGACTTGAGCTATTCTTCCAGATTTAAACCAGGTTCTGAGTCACATGACTTTGAAAAGTTCTCCAAAGGGCCGAATGTGTCCAGCACTTTGTAGCTGAACTTGTTTCACGCACTGGCGCATGGCCATTGGCAGAAAGTCAGTCTTCCAGCCCCTGCTCACCATGGAGCATAGTGGGGCTGGCCAGCTCAGAGCCCCATTCCAAGGAGGAATTTGGTTCTTTTCATGTGAGCAGGGTATATATTTTTTCTCTCCAGTCTAGGCCACCAGATGTTGGGGGTTAAAAATCTCAGTGACCACCCAGGCCCTGGTGGCCAGATGCCCAACAAGTAGCTCCTGTTGGCCAGAAGACCTTTGTAGAGTCCTGTGCTGCTTGAGACATGGCTACACATGATGACTTCACCACAGGTAACAAACTCCCGAGGGGCAGGGGTCTCCCGGGGCAATAAATGCTCCTCCTCTCCTTGAGTCAGGGTGGGGTGGGTGTGAGGGTAAGTCCTCAGCTTGGGCCAAGTATCTCTTCCTTCCATTACAACCACAGAGTGGCAGAGGCTGAATTTTATATTCTGGAAAGGAAACTGACCTATAAATCAGGGGAGCTGTTGGTGGGGAGCTGGGTGACCCTGGACAAGTTTCTTCACCTCTCTGGGCCTTAGGGGATTGGATTAGATGATCTCTAAGCTCAGTCCAACTCTAGCACCCATGTAGCATTGGGGATGAGTATAGAGACCTAGAATATGGGAAGGGGCTATGACACAGATGTCAGGACGTTTTGGTACAGGTGACACAATCAAAGATGTGTGTCAATCAGCAGGCATTTATTACTGGGCCAGACACTATGCTGGGGGCTATGGTGTATACAAAGAAAAATATGAAATAGCCTCTGTCCCTAAGAAGCTCAATTCTATGGGTGAGAAAGAGACAACAAGTACAGAAATTAAGCGAATGCAAAATATATAAAAAACCAATTAAGGCAAATTTCATCTAATTGATCCACCTTCTATGACATTGGGTCTCCTTTGTGTGGTCCTAATAGTTTACAGGCACAGGGCCATTTTTGGAGTCTTCCCACAATCATTGGCTACGTTGGGTCTGGCTTTCAGAGAGGGGCCTGGACCTTGGCCCACTGCCCAGTGGGGATGGTGCCTCAATTTTTCTTCCTTTAGTCACTATCCCCATAGGTGTTAAAACCCATGTCTTTGTTTCCAGCCAAGTTCCAGATTCCTGTAGCAATTTATTGTGGCAGCGTTCCCCGATCCAGTGCCAGCTCTGGGTTCTGCACCTTCCGTGGTCGAAATAGAAACATCAACTCAAGCCTGCAGGACCATGGAGGCCAACGGACAGGAGAGGGTGAGGGTAGGATGGTCTCCAACAGGGTGAATTACAGCAAAATAAAATGTTTTCTAGGGTGTATGAAGAGAGTACATACATACATATGTACATATGTACATTTACACACATCTATAGGTGTTTATATACAGGCACACGCATATCTGTGGGTAATGATGGTCAAGTATGTGCATATGTACATTCATAATACACACACATGCATATGTGTATGTATATATACATACACACATACATACATTCACACTCAACCATCAATTATTCACTATTATCTAGGTCCAACAACCTAGATTTTCCTTCTGGGCACCGCCCACCCAGCATCACCAGCTATAGCGCTGAGGCTTGTTTAAATCAGGCATGGAGGAAGAAGTAAGTGAATATTTGAGTGTGTGGCTACCTTCTTTAAGCATTTAAAATTTTTATTGATGTCTTTTGTTTCTCAATCACTTTCATTTATGAATATATGGGGCAGCTGGAGTCAGGAAGGTCTGAGTTCAAATCTGACCTCAGACACTTACTAGATGTGTGACCTTGGGCAAGTCTGTGTATGTCATTTTCCTCAAATATTAAAGGGGGAGAGCAATAGTGCCTACTTCCCAAAGCTGCTGTGAGGACAAAATTAGATATTTGTTAAACACTTTGTAAACCTTAAAGTGCTATGTAAGTGCTAGCTATTATTATTACAATTACCCTCTCCCTTTCTCTCTACCTAGCAAATTATCCTTTGTAATGAAGATTTAAAATTTAAAATTTAAAAGGGGGGGGAGAAAGAGCCGTTCAGCAAAACTAATTAACACATTAATCAAGTCTAACAGTATATGCAATGTTCCATGCCCAGAGTCTACCACCCTTGCAAAGGAGGGAGGGAGGCACATTTTCTGATCTCCTCTCTGAGGCCAAGCTTGCTAATTATAATTATTTAGCATTTGGTTTCTTTCTTTTTTATTATTATTTCTAACTACAATTTACATTGTTGCAGTTATTGTATGCATATAGGTACACTCATGTATGTATGCACACATGTATATTTGTCTATACACACATACACAAGTACACATGTGTATATGTGTGTCTGTATATATAATATTTTAATTTTTTTGATTGTTTACTTCAGTTTGTATTCTAAAACTATATTTAGAAGTCATTTTTAGATCATCTTCAGTTTTGCAGCAGCAGCAGGTGGAATCATTTGTTTGCCCCTGATGCTTTGCTAGGCTTGGGCCAAGGTAATTCAGTTGTCCTCCTTTGTCTGCCCAGCGTCCCCCCAGTCCCTGCTGAAAGTCCAGATGGAGAAGCAGGCCCCTGTGTGGGGCAGAAATGGAGACCTGACTAGCCTCAAGGCCAGTCTTGCCTCAAAGGGTTGGCAGTCCAGGAATGGCCATGTGAAGAAGGTGGAGGTGGTCTCTTCAGGGCCCCACCCTCTCCTGCCCGCCACCATCCGGGAGATGGAGGCCAGCAGTGCAGCCTTGGAGACCACCCAAATCAAGGACAAGCTAAAGAAGAGGAGACTCTCTGAGGGGCTGTCTGCTTCTCCCAGAGGTGAGCCCAGTGGTTCTGCTTGTGAAAGGGTGAAGACTAGGAATCAGAGAGGCAGGTTTTAGGCCTGGCTCTGCTGCTAGGTGAGCCTGGACAATTTATTTCCCTTCTCTGGGCCTTGACTGCCTTATCTGTACAACGGCTGTGTGTGTGGGGGGTGGGGGATAGGGTTAGGTGGTCTCTACAGTGGCTTTTAGCTCTGACAGCTTGAGGTCGAAGTCCTGATGAGGAGAGGAAACAGAGGCTGCCCTGAAAACAGTGGACACTTTGTCTGTTTGATGGACAAAGACCCCATTAGCCACAGGAATCCTGGGATCTGGAAAGAGCAACAGTGGACAAAGGGGGTTGGCTCTGTAGGGACTCTGTTTTTGTTTCTCCCATAAATGTCACATTGATTACAGCACCTGCCTCCCAGGGTTGTTAGGAGGATCAAGTGACGTGATGTGTGTAAAGTACTTTGCAAACCTTACAGCACTATAAATGCTATTATTGTTATTATTATCCTCTATTAACATGGATCCCCCTCACTGGACGGTAAGTTCCTTAAGAACAAAGACTGTCTCACTTTGTCTTTGTATCTCCCAGCGCCTAGTACTGGTGTGTGACACATAGTAGGTGCTTAACAAATGCTTGTTGATAGATTGATTGCATAAGCATTTATTAAGTGCCTACTCTGTGTCTGGCACTGTGCTAGGTGCTTGGAAGACCAAGAAGAAAACCAAACATTCCCTGCTCTGAAGAAGCTTTTGTGAAGGCCATGCTGCCTTTCTCAAGGAAAGCATCTTTGACAAAGACCTCGCCTTTCCTTGGAGCTTCCATTCATTTCCTTTTTACCCCCTCTGCAGCTTCCTTGGATGCTAGAGGAGTTACTAAGGGTACTTCCCTGAAGAGTGCCGTCCCCCAATCCACCTCTCAGAGATTACTGACGGCTTCCAGGCCAATGCCTCCCATCCGGAGCATCCCCACCACCCCGGAGGTCAAAGGGTCCTTGGAGAATGCCTCAGGCCCACAAGGGAGTAGCAAGAGCCAGCTAAGGGCAACTCCGGCTGCACAAGAGGTAATGTATAACCTACCGTTCTAAGTTTGCAACACCTGTTCCTTTCTTCATGGAGTAAATGTCTTCTATTAACTAACACAGAAGCTGGTCTCTGTGTATGTGTCTTTCTGTCTATTTGCCCATTTATTTGTCTATATGATTTTTTTTTCCATTTTTCATGTGACCTATCATCAATTAATCAAACAACATGCATTTATTAGGCACCTGCAATAGGCCAGGCACTGTGCTATATACTAGGGATATAAATATATAAGTGAGATAGATAGTCCCTGCTTTTAAGAAGCTTACCTTTCACTGGGGAGATATAACATGCTCTCAGGTACACATAAGTTATATATACACATTGACTCCAGAGTGAGAGAACCCACAATTGGTTTCATCAAGAAAGACTTTTCCAAGGAAGGGGCACTTGAGACTTGCCAGGTAACCTGTACTGAAAGCTTTGACAAAGGGGGGTTAATTTGATACATTATCAATTCCAGGTGGGAGGGAGAATTATTTCCTTCCCTCTTCTACCTGCCTTCTGACATCCTTAAACTCAAAGCATGATCACGGGGGCACTTAAGGTCAGTTTAAAGACCACGGGGTTTTAGACTCTGAAACTCTACAGAGAAAGATTTCATCATTTTGGATGCTAGGGCCATCTACCATTTGTACCTCATTGAATCTGAAAAATGTTTTATCAGGAATAAAAATAACTCTGTCCGGGCCGCACCTTTTCTAATACAAATGTATCAGAGGCAGGCAGAGGAAGACATGTAGTTGCCATTCTTACTGTAGAGAAAGGTATGAAGTAGCGCCATTTTTCCTAAAGTTTCCATGTAGGCACTTAATGAATACTGGTTGATTGACTAATGGATACTGATCTTAGGTCAAATTTTGTGGGACCATGCTGGACATAGTTCAGCAATGAGAAAATGAGGATGCCCTTGGGGATGGAGTAATTCATAGGCGCTTAGATTTAGGGATGGTCAGAGACTTTAGAGGCCATCCAGTTCAATCCTCTCATTTTGCAGATGAGAAAACTGAGGCCCAGAGAAGACAGCATAGAGAAGGTGATAAGAGTGCTGAACCTGAAGCTGACCAAGACCTAGGTTGAATAAATAAAAGAGAAAGAAGGTGTCAGGGCCCTGGGTAATAACCCATTACATATCCCACCTGTCTTGACCCTAGGAGATGAATTGGATCTCAATTACCCCAAGGACTTGAGGAAGTCAAGTCCATTCAGGCTTCAGTAGAGGCACTTAGGGGTACTTATATATGGATGTATTGTTTCTGATAGACTATAAGATCCTTGAGGGCAGGCACTGTTCCATTTTTGTCTTTGTATTCCTAGCACTTAGTGGATAGTAGTGGTAGTGGGTAGATGCCTGCTGATGGATTGATTGACTGCCATGAGGACATAGGCTTTAGCCTGGATGAGCTGTCCCTCTACTTGTTGGCTAAGCCTTTGCTGGCACAGTTTGCTTTCTGGGGAGAGATTCTAGCTGTAGCATCCGATCTTGGCCGGGACCCTGCCTTGCTACCTTCTTCAGTTCCTTGGTCCCAGACTGGCCGTGGTCAGTTCCTAGCTTGATCATTCCAATCAAGCCTTTGTCTTCCTTCTCATCTGTGTCTTGTCTCAGGCCCACCTGCTCTTGACGTGTCCTTACCTTGGAATACTTAGGATCAACCTCCAGTTTACCTGACCTCCAGTTTACCTAACCACTTGGTCGAACAGATCTTCTTCAAATGGCTGGCCTCAGCACATGTACACTCTGCCTGAGTGTCAGCCCCATTTTTTGCATATGCCTTCTTAACAGCTGCTGGCTTAATCTTGCCCGATCCTTACCTCAGCCGGGAGAATTTCCAGAATATAGATTTAGCACAGCCTAACCTGGTGTATCTTGGGCATAAAGAATGTGTATTTTTAGTCATTTTTTTGGGGTGGCCAAATCATAGGATCATGAAATTGGGATCTGGAAGTAACCTTAGAGGTCATCTATTCCAAACCTTTCATTTTATTGCTGAGAAAACCCAGGTAGATTCATTGACTTACCCAGTGCTCACAGGTAGTAAGTGACTGAACTGAGATTTGAACCCAGGTCCTCTGACTCAAATTCAGCCCTCTTTTCACTGCACCCTATTCTCACAGACCAGGAATAGATCATATCCCTGAAATAATACAAGGTGGTGTAATGTGTGTGGGGGGACTGGGCCTGATGTTCTATAAAAGTAAATCCAAAGAGATTGTAGTTCCTGTTTTCTACAAAGTCCACATTTTTTTTAATTTAAAAATATTTATTTTAAAATTAATAACCACAGTGAAATCAAATGATACAAAAAATAAAATCATATATAAAACTATGAATTCCAAATGATTTATAGTTTGCTAAAAGGGAAAAAAATAATCATATATGAACTCTAATGACTTAACAACAGTGGCATCGTGTATCCTCCTGGGGCTCCTTATATTTTTCTTCCATGTTCTTACCAGATTTTATTATGATGATGGTTGTAATTAGTTTGCACTCTATCACTTCTTATGTGCCTTTCTATATTTATTTGTATTCTTCATATTCATCATTTATCACAATAACATAGAAGTAATAATAGCAGTAATATAGAAGATCCAAAGTTGAAGCCAAGACAGCCCCCCTTGGAGGGAAGAGGGCTAGACTGGGAGTCAGGACACCTGGCTTCTACCCCCAATTCTATCTAGCATCCACTGGCCATGTGACCTTGGTCAAGTCACTTTGCACCTGGGCTTTGCTTTCTTCATCTGTTAGGATGAAAAGTTTGAACTGAAAAATGTTTATCAGGAATAAAAATAACTTTGTCCGAGCTAGACCATCTCTAACACAAATATGCTTTCTGGAAAAGGAAGACATGCAATAGTCATTCTTATCACAGAGAAAGGCATGAGATGGCCATTCTTTCTAATGTTTCCACATAGGCACTTAATAAATGCTAGTTGATTGACTAATGGATTCCCATCTTAGGTTAAACTTTTGTGGGACTATGCAGGACACAGATCAGAAATGGAAAAATGTGCCTTGAGGATGAGGTAATCTGTAGGAGCTTAGATTTAGGGACTCCCAGGGACTTTAGAGGCCATCAGGCCTAATCCCCTCATTTTGCAGATGAGGAAATTGAGGCCCAAGGAAATAAAGTAGGGGGCAGCATGAAGTAGGCGAACAGAGTGCTGGAAGACCAGGTCTTCATCCTGGCTGAGAGACTTACTATCTATAAGACCTTGGGCAAATCATTTTATCTCCTTACACTTCAGTCTTCTCACCTGTAAAATGGCAATAATAGTAGCAGCCACCTCAAGGGGTGTTGTGAGAACAAATGGGATAATGTAGGTAATCAAATGAGATAACATATGTAAAGCACTTTGCAAACCCTAAAGTACTGCTGTCTATGATGATGATGAGGAGGAGGAGGAGGAGGGGGAGGAAGATGATGATGAGGATGTTGTGTTTTGTGAACTTTAAAGTTCTATATACTTAAACATGTCATATATAAATACAATATTTATATAATAAATATTAGCAGCTATTATTATTAGTAGTAAATGTTATATCTTGTTCAAGGTCACACAGGTTCCTGAACAAACAATTTCACAGGGCACAGGAGCATGGTTAAGATCACTGTATTACTGGCTTTCTCAGGTCTAAAATTCTATGATTCTTTGAAATAGGAAGAAAGAAGGAAGTGGAATCTGACTTGGGAACTTTCTGAGTTGGAGAAGTAAGGAAGTAGGATGGTTTTGAGATGCCACCCAGGGCCACTGTGGTTTTTTTGATAATTCTTTCCCCGGAGAAGCTGCAGGAAGGAGAAAGTGGGTTGGAATGTTCCTTGGGACATTAGTGTCCTAAGCTTCATGTTTCTCTATGGGATTTCCTCTAAACCTCCCTCTGATGCCTCATTGTGGTGTGGGAGCAACGCTGGGTTCTCAAAGACTAGAGCTGAGGCCAAGCTCTGGCAGGTCTTCCCAAGCTGGAAGGCTTTCATGTAAGTGAAGGCCTGGCCATCATTTGAGGATTCGCCCTACTCAGCTTGAAGAGACTCATCACCAGAAAAAAGGCTGACCATTGACTGATGTAGGGGGTTTCGGGTTTTGGTTATTTTTTTTTTTTTTTGGTTTCATCAACTCATGATGACTAAACACTAAGACTGGAGGAGTTGTGTTCTGCATCCATGGAGAGTCCCATGCCATCAAAACTGCAGATCTTTAAAAGGATCGAAAGAAGAAGGATAGCTAGACTTTAACTCCCTCTCCCGATGCTGTTCCCAGGTGCAGATATCCCTTCAGTACCTGCATTGCAAAGATGAGAAGATGAGGCAGTCTCTGGGAGGTGCCCTGATCCCTCCCATCCTGAAGGCCGGACAGCCAGCAGACACCAAGTCAGTAACATTACCAGCTATTGTTAGCAATCCTAGTCCTGTGCCCCCAGGCCAAGATGTCCTCACTATCCAGGAGGTCCCTGGAATAGGGTAAGCCACACTGGGACCTTCGTTGGAATTTTAAAGATTCAGAGATTGTTAAGAGTTAGCAGGGACCACCAGCTCCAGTTGGGTCTGCATGGGTTCCCTGGGGCCAATGTTCCATAGTTGGGTGCTTTGGATTACTGTTGATGGTCTAGAGAAGGGATTCTTAACCTAATATCTCTAAATTTGTTTTTTAAAAATATTTTGTGTTTTTCAACATGTTTTCTTAGTAATCCTGTGTTTTTTATTTTACGTATTGAAAAACATTCTGAGAAGGGGTCCATAAGCTTTACCAGATTGCTAAGGGGTCTGCAGATACAAAAAAAAAACCCAGTTAAGAGCCCCTGGTCTGGAGGGTCTTTGCTTTATCACAAGTCTGGATGACTGGGTTCCTAAACTGGATGAGCTTATCATAATCCTGCTTGAGATCATTGGTGGTTTTTGTCCTTGGCAAACCTAGCTCCTTTGAATGGAACATCCTCTTGGCAAGGACAAGTGACCCTCTCCCAGGGAAGTAGCAATGTCCCCATGAGGGGTTGCTGCTGACTACTCCAGACTGGAGCCAGTCCAGATAGTGTCAGAGGGTGGGCAGGAACACAGACAAGACTCCCAGGTATGCCCTGAAGTGTGTTTTAGGTGGGCCCTCCATCCTGTCCCTACCTTGTTCTCCTCTTTCTTTTAAACCTTTTAGGGTACCCCCTCCACTCAGATTTCCCTTAGCCTAAGAACCCTGTCCCTCAACCCTGCTTCTGCCCTTGAGCTGCCATCTTGCCTCTCTCTCCAGACTTCTTTCAGGAGCAATCTATATGTGCTGCCATCACCTTCTTGGCCCTTTGCAATCTGCTTTCCAGCTTTACCACTCTGTTGGAGTTGCTCTTTTAAAGGTCATCAGTGACCTCTTACAAAGTCAGATGGTCTTTTCTAGACCTCATTCTCCTTGACCTTTTGGCAACATGTGACACCATTGGTTGATCACCCTTTCCTTGAAACTTTCTCCTTAAACTTTCTGCTCCTAGGACCTCCTCTTTCCTTTTTGGCTGCTACTTTTCTGTCTCCTTTACAGGCATTTTTCCTTTCCCTCTTCATGTGGGCATTCCCCAAGGGTCTCTCCTGGCCTCTCTTCTAACTTGCTCCATGCACTCAGTGATCTCATCTACCTCTTTGCTGTCAATCATAACTTTTCTGTGGCTGACTTTTAAATCTACTCCCAACCTCAACCTTTCCCCAACCCAGTCTAGTCTCACTCTTCTAGATGCTTCATGAACATCTCTACATAGGTCTTCTACAGTTGTCCAAAACCAAACCTAGCTTTATGCACTTCCTGCCTCCAGACCAGCTTCTCCTCCTGGTTTTCTTATTTTCTGTTGATGGCAGTCCAGGCTCAAAACTCTCAGAGTCAATGGGGACTCGTTTCTCTTCATACATGGCCAATCAGTAGCCAAGTGCTGTTGATTCTGTTTACTACTAGCTTATAGTCCAGGGTCATGTCATGTTGCTACTGATTACTGAAAAACAGCAGTGGTAGGAGTAAGGTAACTGCCTAGCTATGCTGGGATGTGAGAGAGATTAAGGATGGGATATACCTTGCAACTAGAGTCTAGAGTTGTGAATCACAATAGCTGATGATAAGAGAAAGAGGCCATTCACATTTTGGGTCCCAATTGGTCTTCATCAGTGCCATGCTTGCACACAGGTAGAGCCAGTTGGCAGGGTCATCACTGGTCCTGTGGACAGACACTGTTTCTAGTTTGGAAGGGCTCATAGGAAGGCAAATGTGAAGCCAGTGAATTCCAGAGCTCCATCTCTTTATCCCACAAAAATCAGTTGTGTTGTGGCCTAACTCTGTTGTAGGGATAGGTTCAGAGAATGCAAGGCTGGTGGGGGCTGGTGCCAGGCTGGAGATGCCCAAGAAGGTCTGGCACTCTTTAATTCGTAGAATTCCTAGAGGCTATCTTCACCAACCCTCACCTGGAAGGGACATTTCTGCCTTGCTATCCCTTTATATGGCTTTAAAAAGATTTTTTCCCCCTTTCCGATTTCTTTTAAGATTGGTACAGGAGAACAGTCCCCAGAAGAGGACCCCCAAGTCTGTGGGTAGGTATGCCTACCTCTGTTTATTGGCTGTCTTGTACTCTTGGCTACAGAGCTTTGAGCAGGTTGGTGGGAATGGGAGATGGGGAAAATTGCACTTTCCAGTTAAATCCTTACCAGGCAGCTAGCATCATATAGTGGTAAGAATGATGGTTTTGGAGTGAGGAAGCCTAGATGGGAGAAACAATTCTGCTACTGTCTCACCTTGGGCAAGTCACAACCTCTCTGGGCCTCAATTTTTCTCAGTTGTCAAATGAGGGATGTGAACTAGACGTTGTTTCAGGTCCCTTACAGCTTTGGCATTCTGTGGAGAGAGAAACCCTAAGACCTCAAAGCTTAATGAGCTCCCTCGATAATTAAAGGTCAGGAGAATGAAACCAATATTGGGAAGGAAGTCAGGTGAGAGGATTTGGGGAGGGAGAGGGGGAGGAACCGGAGGGTTGAGCATCTTTTTCAGTATGAGCAAGAATTCTGATTTGAAATGCTGATTTGAGTTACCTGGAAAGGGCAAGAGGAGATGAATGGATGCTACATCTGATCTAATTGGTTGGGAGGGGGGCTAAGTGAGTGAGCCAGAAGCCTACAGGGACTGGGTTTCAGGAGGGGTTGGAATGCACATAGCCAGAGTTGTCCAAGTCAGAACAGGTCCAAGGAGAGAGTTTTGGCAGGATCAAAATAATGCTTAGGGTGTTCCTGGGGGAGGGGAGGGCCTTGGAGAAGCAGTTATTTTGCTGATTGGAATTATCCAGGACAGATTCTTTTGGAGCTTAGCCCCCTATAGTCACATAAATATTTTTATCTATATGGTCCTGTCCCTCTGTCTTTGATCATCTCTTCAGTAAACAGGCCTAGTAGTGGTGTTGCTGGGTCAGAGGGTAAGCACAGTTTAGTAACTTTTGGGGCATGGTTCCAAATTGCTTTGCAGAATAGCTGGACTAGTTCCCAGCTCCACCAACAGTATATTAAAGTACTTGTTTCCCTCAGCCCTTCCAATGTTTGTCATTTTTTGGGTGAGAGCATCTTTGCCAATCTTATGTGTGGAACTTCCAATTTACTTTAATTTGCATTTCTCTAATTATTACTGATTTTGAGCATTTTTATATGGTTGTTGATAGCTTGGATTTCTTCCTTTGAAAACTGCCTGCTCATTTTAGCCCCTAAGTTATGCTCAGCAGGTATGACTGTTGGCCAGGGAGTGCCTGATTTCAGAACATAAAGTTCTAGGCCCGGGGGAAACTTGTCTGACGTGCTTGGCCTTTGCAGCAATCTGGCTCCCCACCCATCTCTGCTTAGGCCCTAGCTTCCCCTGTGTGAAAGCCTAGCATTCTGGTGTGGTGCCCCTCAGCATCCTCAATGGTTCACACCGAGAGAGTAAATAGTTTAATGGTTTATAAACTGTCCTCACAACCCTATGAAGTAGATAACTTGAGTATTATTGATATTTTAAATACTCTATTGTAATCCATATATTTTTCTTTTATATAACCTCCTTTCCAAGGTATTCCTTCTCCCTCCCACCCAGGGCTCCCCACCCTTTCCTACTGAGAAAGCCATTTCTTGTAACAAAGATCAAAAAGAAAGAGGGGAAAAAAAAAACAGGATAGCAAAAAGAACCACCACAGCAGCTGCGGCTGACAGTATATGAGGTATTCCAACCTGTAGTCCTCCACCTCCGCAAAGAAAAAAAAGAGGTGTGTTTTCTCAACTCCTCTCTGACAAGCTTGGTCACTATAATTGCATTATAATTCAGTTTTCAGGTTTTGTTGTTATTTTTTCTGTTTACATTGTTGTCATTTTGGCCCAAGCATTATTATTACCATTTTACAGATGAGAAAACCGAGGCATGAGATGTTAACAACAACAATAATAATTATCATGTATATAGCACTTTGGAGTTTGCAAAGTACTTTACATATGTTATTTCATTTGAACCTCACAACCACCCTACTAGATAGGTGCTATTATTATTTCCATTTTACAGATGAGGCAGCTAGGTGGTTCAGTGGATAGAACTCTAGAAAACCTGAGTTCAAATTCGGTCTTATACACTTATTAAAATTGTGACCCTAGACAAATCACTTAAACTCTGCCTCACTTTCCTCAACTGTAATACAGGGATAATAACAGCACCTTCCTTGAAAGGTTGTTGTGAGGATCGAATGAGATAATATCTATCAAGTGCTTAGCACAGTGCCTGGCACATAGTAGGAGCTAAATAGATGCTTATTGCCCAATGAGGAAACTAAGGCCGAGAGACATTAAGCCACTGGCCCAGAGTCACACAACACAGCTGATACACGTAGGAGCTGCCATTCGGTGCTCTTTTTACTCTCTCTGCTTCTTCCTGCAAAGTGAGAGAAACAAGAGAAGAAGGATGAGAAAGTTTTGGGAGCTGGTTTTAGGTCTAAAATTCCCTGAAAATTAAGACGATGCCATTCCTTGTAAATGACCTTTTTGCATTTCCCAGAACTCATTTCTTCACGTGGGTGGAAAACAGCTAACACAGCTCACTGATGTCTAGCAGAATTAAGCTAGCTGTGCTGGCAGAGCAGCCGATGGATGCTAATCCCTGCTCTGACACTAACCAGTTGTACCACATTGGTTAAGTCACTTAAGTGAGGTTTCACTTTCTTTATCTGTAAAATGAAGGGGATCAGCTTGGTGACCTTTATGATTACTTCCAGCTCTAACATTCTGTGTTGTGTGACTCTGAAGTGCCTGCTACAGATACTCCGCGTACTTGTCTTCCCCTCCCTTTGGTTGGAAGCTCCTTGAGGGCAGGGTCTGTGTTGTAGGGTGCCTTCAACATTGTAGATACTTCCTAAGTGTCTGTGATGTTCCTTCTTCCTACTTTCCCTCCCTTTTCTCTCTTCTTCCCTTTCCTTATCTTTCCTTCTGTCATTCATGACAAGGCAACTAAATCCTTACACTTTTCCTGACTTGACGCATAGAGTAAGAAATGCCTTGATTATGTTGCTCCTCAGATGGCTTTATCTCGTGCCTGGCTTTAGTACTCTTGAAGACTAAGCTTAATTCATACCCGTGGTGAGTCAATCAGAAGCGTCTGACAGAAGGAACAAGTTCTGAGAGCTTTAGGAATAATAGCCGTGCTAGTCCATGGCCTGGAAAGTTGGTTTCAGCAAGTATGCTGGCTGTCTTAATGCCATCAAGAATGTGCTTAACTCTTCAGAGGAAAGGCCTATGATCCCTCCTGCCCGAGCCATGCCAGCTGGTGGCACAAAGTCTGCTGTCCATTCCTCCCAGACTGCATCTCCATTGATGACACCCTCCTTCAGCCATGCCAACAAAGACAAACAGCTGAGGACCCAACAGTTGCTGAAGGAAGTGGGCCGGCCAGAAAGCAGCCCCAGGGTATGTGTGAGGACCCAGGAGATGGTGGCCATCCCAGAGGATGACAAGCTGGCTCAGCTACTGACTCTCATTCCGGTGGTGGTGTGTGTGTATGTGTGTGTGTGTGTGTGTGTGTGTCTCACACACACACACACACACACACACACACACTCATTTTAAAGTAACTCTGCGTCTAGGCAGTAGAAACAGGAGGAGAGTGGACCTGTGCAGACCTGCAGTTGCCCCATTGTTCCTCAGTGGTTTGAACCTCATTGGAGGAGGGCATTGGGTGTCACCCAAGAACTAAATTACTGCTGGAAGTGGGAAGTAAGGGATGGAAAAAGGGACAAAAGGGAAAGAGAAAGAACAGTTGTGAAAGTGATATATAAATGAAGTGTGGGGGAAATCAGGTAGAAGGGACTGCGTAATTCAAAGAGGAGAAAGGATGTCAGGTCAGGGCAGATGGGCTTAAATAAACTATAGCCAGGTCATTTGAGCGACTGCCCAGTTTCCAAAGAATACCACCTCTTGCTGCAGCCATAATAGCTGACAGTTATATGGCACTATAAAGTTTGCAAAGTGCCTTATAGACAATCTTATTTGATGCTCACAATGACTATGTGTGATAGGTGCAATTATTAACTCCATTTTAGAGATGAGGAAATTGAGCCTGAGAGAGGTTAGGTGACTTGTGCAGGTCATGCAGCCAGTGAGGGCTAGAGGACGGATTTGAACCCTCATCTTCCTGACCTCAAGTCCAGTTGCCTCACCCACCGTGCTGAGGGGCAGCTGGCTCAGGGGCCAACAGCATGATGCCTTGAGCTGAAACATAAATCCATGATTCCACCCCAACTTGCAGTCTAACCTTGAACACATTGCTCTTCTTTTCTGGGCTTCATTTTCCCTTCATTTCTCTGTTCTGGATGAAATAGTAAAGGATGGGAAGCAGTTTTTCTTTTTCCTGGTTGAACTGACCCCTTCCTTTCATGCTAATAAACCAAAATGAATGGGTAAGAAGCATAATTTTGAACTGGGTATAAACTAAGCCTTTTGTAGCTTGTTCTGTCCAGCTTACTGGATACCCCTGAGACAAACTCAGGATTCAAATCTAAGAGAAACTCAGATTGGATATTAGTGGAAAACAAACCACACCCTCATTGTCATTTTGTTAGTTGACAAGAAAGAAGGACCAGAAAAAAAAAATGTGTTCCTGGGAGGGCCTGGTATGTTTGGATACTTTTTTCTTTGTAAACCAGTATAATTCTAGGGGCAAAAGGGATGCCGGTAGGGTGCTGGACAAGATCTTTGGGGTACAATTCAAGTTTGCATTGTATTTGTACAGATCCAGGTGACCATTGCCAAGTCAGCCCAAGAAAAGATGCTTCTGAAGCAAATGAAAGAAATGGAGTTATTCCAGCGGGTCAGGGAGCGAGAGGAAAGGCATCGGGAGAGAGACTTTCTGTCCCAGAGTCTGAGCTCCAGGAGCATGATCAAGGAAGGTAAAAGAGTATTTGGATGGGTGGGTCCCCTGGAAGCCTGCAACAGAGAAAGGTGAGGACCTTTAGAATGAAGACACACAGAAGTGAGACTGTCCTCCTCCAAGTACCAGGTGACGTTCCTGTCTCTTGGAGGATCAGGGCTATTGAGTCATCCCTGAGAGAATGCTTAGGTGCCACTGCCCTATGCTCCATCTGGCTCAGGCTCTTGCTGGGCCCATCTCTAAGGCACTGGGCAATGTGCTAAGAGGCCTATCATGGTCATGCAGCAAAGGATGCCCTAGGCAGTGATACTTGAGCTCTTATATTTTTTTTTATGGTTCTCACAGGGCTCATTCCCCTCCGCAATGGTGGACCCCTGTCTGTTTCCACCAAGTTGGGAAGCCCATGCAGAACCAGCCTCGGCATTATCTTGAAGAAACGAGCTAACCGTTCCTCTCTGCCCAGTCTCCCCGTCGTCAACCAGGGACCCCGTTTTACCCGCCACGCCTCAGGTAAGGCTCAGCCTGATTTTTCCAGGAATGTGGGCACTGCAGATCCTCCATTAGGACACCATCCTTGGTTTTCCCATCATCATACTGGCACCCTTTGGTCCATGACAAAGATGTTCTTGGCTTCTTTGCTCCCTTTTGCCAAAGGTTGACTAAGGGAGTGAAGAATAACAGTTGGACAGTGAAGGAATTAGCAACCATGGTGAACTGGGAAAGCAATTGGCTGTGTGTACATATAGCGGTTGGGGCCCAGCTGAGGTTGTGTGACATAAATTTGTACGGGATCCAGTCAGAACAGTTGCATGATTTTCTCCACCCATGTGTAGAAATGAAACTGTGGATGGTGGGAGTGATCCAAGGCTGAGGCTCAGTAGGTTGCAATTGCAAAATGATAAGGAAGCTAGGGACTCAAGAGAGGAGGAGAGTTTAGAATTGAATTTGTTCACCAAGGAACAAGATGGGGGAAAGAGGAGAGAGTGGTTAGTGCAGGAGAGATGGCCTGGAAGAGAATTGAGGGATCAAAGGATTGGATGTCACAATGTAGATGAAGAGTAGGGTTTGGTAAGAGAAGGCAGAGGGAGAGGTGAAAAGCAAATGGATTATGGTCAGATAAAGGGATTTATGAATTCTTGAACACGGAAATAGTACATTTATGAGTGATTGCAAAATTGAGACTATGACCATCTTTGTGTATGGCTGAGGTGGAGGAGTTGTCATGGGAAGTGAGTAGGTTGAAGAACTCAGTGTTTAGGGTGTTTGAGGGAGAGTCATTTAGCATGTTGAAGTCCCCTAGCATGAGGGTAAGAGTTGAGGAGGAGAGAAAAATTGTGAGCCACATACTGAATTCATTGAAGAAAGAAGGGGAGTGAGCTGTGGGTCAGTAGACAACTTCAGGATCTTGATTGAGTGGTAGATATGAATAGCATGGACCTCAAAGGAAGAAAGGTTACTGAGTGATGGAAGAAGTGAGACAGCCTGGAAGCGGCGATGGGGAGCAGGGAATATTCCAATTTTGCCGCCTTGATCAGTGAGCCAAGATTTTAATAATAGCTAATAGATGGAGGGAGTGGGAGAAGAAAAGATTTAGAGTGAAGGGACATTTGTTGTCTGTGGAACTGGCATTCTGGAGGGCACAATATGACCAAAGTATTTAAGCTTCAGCTTCAGTATTCAGTATTTCAGTGAATAGCTTGAATGAATTTATTAAAGTATTGACTGATTTGATCTCCTTGCTGTCCAATGGATTCTCAAAAGTCTTCTCTAGCACCATAATTTAAAGCATCAATTCTACGGCACTCAGCTTTCCTTATAGGCTCACTCTCAGTCATATATCACTACTGGAAAAACCATAGCTTTGATTAAATAGACCTTTGTTAGCAAGGTGATGTCTCTACTTTTCAGTCTGCTGTCCAGATGTGCCAGAACTTTTCTTCCAAGGAACAAGTGTCTTTTAATTTCATGGCCACAGTTACCATCTGCAGTGATCTTTAAGTATAATAATATAAAATCTGACACTCCTTCCATTTCTCCTCACTCTATTTGCCAGGCAATGATGGGACCAGTTGCCAAGATCTTAGTTTTTTTTTTTTATGTTAAGCTTCAAGCCAGTTTTTATACTCTTCTCTTTCACCCTCATCAATTCTTCTTTACTTTCTGCCATCAGAGTGATATTATCTGCATATCTGAGATTGTAGCTATTTCTCCTGCAACCTTAATGCCAGCCTGCTATTAGTAGATTCTTAATACATGCTGGCTGATTTGTTGAGTGAAGACCACTTGTATTTGAACAACTCAAGTAACTCTTATCCTATATTAGGGCTGGTCTTTCTTCTAGGAGAGGGCTAGAGGACGGATTTGAACCCTCATCTTCCTGACCTCAAGGGGTGGGGGGTGAGGTGGGAGTTGGGGGAAGGTGAGTCAATACTTTGAGTCCTGTGCATTTCAGAAGATGCATCAGAGGAGGTAGAGTGTGGGTCTTGCTAGCCCATCCTGATGTTCTTGTTCTCCATAAATGTGAGTGGTCATGCTGGTGGTAGTTGGTAGCAGTGGTGGTTACTACTACTGACTCTGTGGGTTATATGAATGAATGAATACCAAAGGGAGGCTAATTAATAGAAACTTTAATAAAATCTTACCAGACATTCTTATCTTACCCAAAACTCTCAAATGAATAATAAATGCAGTGTATATATTGTTTGCCACCTAAGCAATACTCAGATCTTGTGGGAGCTCTAAGATCTTGTGCTTTCAAATCAGGCTGTCTCCACATAGGCACTAATATTACCGGATCTTGATGATGGGAGACGGTGCTGGGAAGTGTCATGGTTGTACCTGGCTTCACTAGGCCTAGGATGCAATCTGGATCAAATAGCACTTTGCTTAAGTGTCCTTGAGTAGATCCCCTCTCCTTTCTGGGCTCCACATTTCTAAACTATAAAATGAGAGGGTTGGACTAAATGACCTCTAAGATGCTTTGATAGACTGTGATTTTGTGAGTTAGTTATAACCCCAGGTGGCAAGGTTGCCGGGGATTTAGTATACTTATCCTACTGCTAACACTTTGATTTAAGGGGGTTCACAGACACCATCTAATTAATCCTTGTGCTATCCAGTGAAGTACAGATGGACTGGGGTGATCCCTGTCTTATCTGGAAGAGAAACTGCAGCACAACCTGTGTCAGTCACAGAACAGACTAATCCAAAAAATCAGCTGCTAAGAGGATTCTGATTTTATCAGTGAAAATATGAATATCAGCTCCGACGGCAATTCATCCACGAGCCCCTGCTAACCAGCACCCAACCATAGATAATGAAGAGTTGACTGTAAATACATAGAATGACTTGTCTGTCATATGACCACAGGTAGCCTATCACAAGCCAGCATTTCTATATGTAATAATGGACATTCTCCTTAAGTTAGGGCTCCTGAGGATGGAGGGCATCCAATCAGATAGACAGCAGGCTGATTTCCCTCCCTCGGTCCAACGGGAGTCCTGCAGGTACTGACAGCTTTGCCCACAGCTATCACCGAAGCCCCTCCCTGCTCCATGTTAGGTATGCCAACTTATTGTGTGTCTTTGGGGCAATGCTGTGGGTGAGGTCTGGGGAACTGTGAGCTTCGTGAGAAGAAACTTGTGGAAGTGAAGAAGCTTAGTGCCATTACTGTCTCATCCAGTGGTGTCAAATTCAAATAGAAATGGATCCTAGCCAGCTGCATATTGACTTAGGAAACCACAAAATAACATTATTTATGTTTTTTTCCATATTTTTATTTATTTTGTTAAATATTTCCCAATTACATTTTAGTCTGGTTCAGGCCACACTTGGTAGCAAGCAACCTTCTGGCCTCAAGTTTGCCATCTCTGGTCTTGCTCACCAAATGGTTCTCTGTATAACTCCTGTCTATTGCTTTTCTCTTCATTTCTTCTCTTCTTTCCTTCCTCCCTCACTTCTTTTTCCCTTCTTTTCCTCCTTCCTTCTTTCCTCCCTTCATCCTCCTTTGCTTCCTTCCGTGCTCCCTTCCTTCTTTTTTTCCAGCCAATTCCTTACCTGCAGTGTTCACAGTGGGTTCTCCAGAATGGGAGGAAGAAGAACGGATAGACAGCTGCAAAGAGCCGAGGCCTCTCTCAAATCCAGAGCTAGTACTGATGAATGCCTTCCAATGGCTTGAGAGCAATGATTGGTGAGGACCAACCCTGTCTTCCTTCTCTCATGTGCCCTTACCTTCTTGTGTTCCTTTGCCCCTGTGTGGCCTGTGCAATGACAGATGAAGATCTCCAACACTCAGGAGTGGCCCCTGTACCATCTCCTGGGGATTAGTTGCAATGTAGGGCATTGCTGTGCTCTGCCCATGAATGAAGGGTGGGGGGAAGAACCTGGGCTTACCCAGAAACTTGACCTTATTTGCTAGGAGTATTTTTTTAATTTTTAAAAATATTTTATTTTTCCCCAACTACATGTTAAAACAATATCTTAACTTTTTTTTTTAAAGTTTTGACTTCCAAATTCTATTCCTCCCCCTGTCTCCCTCCATTCAAAACTATAGTTTATTCTAGTCCTGTGCTAATAAACTAGGGGTCTGCTGGGGTCTCCACAGTCTCCATGCAATTTTGCATGGTGTAATTGAGCTCTCTTTTAATACCTACTCCTGTAAGGGGACAAGAACAACACTTGTACAATGGGTTTCGTGGTCAGATCCATCAGATACATTGTGGTATCCCTCACCGTATTCCAGGGAATGTGATATAAGCGCAATTGCAGTAAAGTCAGTTGTTTCATAATGGGTTTTTGCTCCAGGAGGTATTAACCTGATTTTTATATCATAATGAGTGATTGATACAAAGAAGAAACCTCAACTTTGAGGCCATGTCTGTTATAATTTGGGGAAATGCATGTTAGCTGTGTGCACAGGCTTTGTGAGGTGTGATCTGGGCAGAAATGGGGGCACCCTCTAGGTGGCGCTGTTCAGGCCTTCAGGGGTCCCCTTGGGTCCCTGGTGGAATTCATGATTCTCCCTTCTGCCTTTGTGACCTGGATCCTTGGGGCTGGCTTCTTAGGCAGATGAAACAGAAAGGTCTGGTGAGCATCAGACGCCTGGCAATCTGTCACCCTGAGGTCCTTGCAGAGAGACTGCATGATGTTTCCTTGGCAGTAATGAGGGAGGTGAGTAAGCACCAACCCATGAGCAGTATTTTTCATCATCTATCCCTCTCCCTTCCCAACCCTCTTTCCACACTGGCTGTAGGTGTCCAATATATATTAAATATCTGCTATAGTCTGGGATGGTTGTTAAACCGATTCCTTCTGCAGATTTCTTGCATTGATTCCCCTTCCCTCCCCCCCCATCCACACAGCCATCAGATAAAACTTATGTACATTGCACATAGTAGGTGCTTGATAGAGATTGTTGGATGAAGTCTATTGTTGAATAATCTCACGCTTGAATTATAGCAAAAGCTTCCCAGACAATTTCCTTTCCCTTAATACACTGTGTGACCTGGCCAAGGCGCCTTCACTATTCTTAACTCATTTTCCTCAGAAGACTTTGATATGCAATAACTACTGTGATGATATCAGAATCTTGAGATGTAATTCAATCAGCCAGTCTAACAACCAGCATTTATTAAGCACCTACTATGTGCCATGCACACTAGGTCCTGGGGATAAAAAGGCAAAAATAAAACAGACCCAATCCTCAAGGAGCTTACATTCAAAAGTTATCTAATGTGTTAAGCAAAGACCTGGGTTTAGAGACAGTGTGGAGTGTTGGGAAGAGCACTGGGCTTGGAGTGAAAAGACCTGGATTTGAATTCTGCCTGTTTCACTTTATTCCCTATGTGTAGAATGTCCTCCAGCCCTCAGTGTCTGTCTTTCTTATTTACTCCATTATCCTGAGTTTAGTTCTTTATACCCTCCCTCCCTCCCCCCCCCCAGCTTTTCTGGTCTCAGCATTGTGTGAAAAGTGATGCCCTCCTGGGTAAGACCCAGAAGGGTCTGGGATGTTGGTTCCCATCTTTCATTGGGAATTTTATAGTTCTTCCTGCCTTCCATCATCCCTGCTGAGGGGCTCTTCTTTCTCTCTCCCCCAAAGGTTACCAATCTCCGCTCCAAGGTGTCCCGCCTGGCCATCAGCACATTGGGAGACCTCTTTTGTACCATGAAGAAGAACATGGACCCAGAAGCTGAAGAAGTCGCCCGATGTTTGCTCCAGAAGATGGGGGATACCAGCGAATTTATCCAAACAGCTGCTGATCGGTCCCTGGGAGCCATGGTAGAAAATGTGACTCCTTCCAGATCCCTGGCAGCTCTCACAACAGGGGGTGTACAGTATGTATTTGGCTGTCATTTGGGGGTGGGAGGAGGGAAAACATGAGATCTAGAGAGCTGAGGACACAGGAAGAATGGTGCTTAGGGGTGAGAGGAATGAGGAGACAAGTAGAAGGAAAGGGGGGAATGGGTGTGCAGGATGTGGAAAGTGGAGAGGATTAGATGGGATGGGAAGGGGTAGAAAGAGAGGATAATTTCAGAAGAGGAGGGCTTGAGGGAAGAGAGAGTAGAAAAGGAGAGGAGATATGGAGAAGAATGATAAGGGGGGACCCTAATCATATAGGGTTAGGGTTGACGTGCTGTGGCTCCCTGTGAGGGAAGCTGGTTCTTTTGGGTGGGAAGGCTTCCCCCCCCATTCCCATTCCTGCCTGTTCTCCCCCACTGTTAGTCTGTGTGACAGTGATGCTGAGAGATTAAAAAGCTAACAGGAATTTAGGTCTTCTGGATGAGATGCATGTGTGTAGCACCAAGCCCTTGTGCAGAAAGGAGAGAGGAGGCACCTTGTTATTTTACTGAAGCAGGCTGGCTGGGGGTACCTGCGGATTGCAGTAATAGGCACCAAAGGGAGACAACCTGAAGAGGGTTTGTCCCTCCTCTTCCGCTCCCAGAGGAGGAGATGTTTCTTTCTGATGAAACCTGGGCCAGTGAGCGGTGAAATCAAGCAGATTCTGACACATCACCTGGGAGATTCTGTTCTTCCTACCAGCTGGACCCACTTCTTGCTTAGCTTTTCTTCAGCCAGATTTGTTCAACTATTTTAAATATTTTTTATATTTATATAATATAAATATATATATAAACACATCCATATAATATTTAAATATTTTAAATAAAAACTTCTAATCCATTTTCACTTGTGAATCTAATCCCATGGATTTGTGAGCATCACCCCTTAGGCAATTGCACCAACCCTACACATCTGAGATCTTTCATCATTCTGCAGATCGGTGATCTTGTCTGAGACCTGCAGGGGGTGGTCTTGTATCAGCTTGCATGCTTCTCATAATCCATCTATAGATTGGTGACTGTATCTAGTTGTAGATTGGCCATCTTGCAATAACGTGCAAATCTGGAGTCCTATTTCAGATTGCAGCACATTGGTGACCTTATGTCAGTCTGTAGATTAATTATCACTGTTTTTCCAGCTTGGGAGAAATTGATCGCACTGGTGTGGTACTCCTTCCCTTTGCTGAGAGGAATCAAGGTTAGGTTTCTAGGGGAGCCTTTGGAGAGAAAGCACCATTTGGTGCCAGGTGATAAATGGGTATTGGACCCAGAAGCAGAATGTGTATTGGGCTTAGGAGCTCTGGAGGAAACGAAGGAAGAGCTGAGTTCTTTGGTGGTTCTGGCAGCCAGACAACACTGTCGTCTGTCTTCCTTCCTTCCTTCCTTCCTTCCTTCCTTCCTTCCTTCCTTCCTTCTTTCCTTCCTTCCTTCCTTCCTTCCTTCTGCCTCCCTCTTTCCTGCCTGCTAGCATCAGCACCCCCAGCCTTTGGTCAGGAATGGACAGTTCTCTTTCTATCCATTTTCTAGGCTCCCTTGGGCCCCATGAACAGCTGATCCTGTACCTCCCCAGGGTTTAGGTCACTGACATGAAATGCCTTTGAATCTGAGTCCCAGTGATCTGGCTTTACTGGCCCTCTCTCCTTGGGTTTGGGTGTCCCTCCCTGAGCTGACCCCCCTGGCCATGCTGTGCTTTCTTCCAGCCACAGGAACCCACTAGTCCGAAAATGCACCGCTGAGCACCTATGCAATGTCTTAGAGCAGATTGGGGCTGAGAAACTACTGTCAGGGACAAGGGACAGTACTGACACGCTGATTCAAATCCTGGTAAAGCTTGCCCAGGACTCCAATAAAGAAACAAGGTAACTGGGTACTTTTTGAGACTGAAAACTGCCCAGCAGGCCTTAAAAAGCCCCAGTACAGGCGAAGCCACTGAACCTATGGGGTTTAGCTCTGCCCAGACTCTATGCCAAAGGAATGAGAGACTGCATGATGTAATAAAACAATCCCTGGATTTGGAGTCAAGAGGTCCTAGGTTCCAATCCTGACTCTGCTACTTCCAATTTCCATGTTTTTAAGTAAGTCAGTTCCATCACTGGACCTTCCCATCTGTAAAATGGGGGCTTTTGGGTGATAGGGATATTGTCTCTAATCTATGACCCCATGAACATAGTGAGCAGAGGCTGGGTAGGGAAGCCAAGAGGGTAGTTAATTTATCCTGTAAAATTGTTAAACATGTTAAACCAATGTACCTCGTCATGACAGGGGGCAGGGGAAGGGCAGGAAGTGGCCGTGGCCCGACAAGACACTGGTGGGCCTGTGGCAAGCTTTGTGTCTTCCTGTCCACCTTCCCTATAACACCTGTGACTTACTACAAAATAAACATCAACGTGTCGTGGGACTTGGTGCCATAAATACATACACATTTAATAATAGAAGATGGCATTGATAGAGTGCTCTAAGGTTTACAAAATGTTTTCCTCCTAGCAATTCTGTGCAGTTGGTAGTGTGAGTATGAATACATATTATAGGTAGAGTTTAGAGAAGGGAGATGTCATTTCTATATTTAGTCCTGAAGATTAAGAACTAGAAGGGATCTTAGAGGTTGCCTAGTCAAACTCCTCCCCCCATTTTACAGATGAGAAAGCTGAGGGCCAGAGAGGGCAATGACTCGCCCAAGGTCACACAGGGAGTAAATGGAAGAGTTGGGACATGAACCCAGATTGAACCCAGTTCTTCTGACTTCCGGGGTGGTGTTTATTCCACACTGCTGGTTATATTAAAAACTCCTGTTACCCCCTAGTCAGCTGCCTAACGTGACTACTGCTTCCCACTTTCAGCTCTGAGCAAGAAAGATGCCAGTCCTCCATATTTAAAAAAATTGATAATTTTTTTCATCACAAGTATTTCCAAATAATTTCCCTCCTCTCCTACGCAATAAGTCTTGCCTTGTAACAATTTAAAAAAAGAAAAAAAGACAATAGTTTAGCAGAACCCACCACCTATTGACCATGTCTAACAATATATACAGTGTTCCATGCCAGGTTCCCCACCTCTGTAAGAAGGGCGAGGGGTTCATTTTCTCAAGTCTTCTCCAAGACTACTCTTTGTCCTTATTCAAGAGAGAACTAGGGATTCAGTGCTGGGGAGCATGAGCTTTGAGTAGTCTTTCCAGTGGTGGGGAGGGGATTGTTTTGCCCCACCCTACTCTGGCTCACCTGCTTTCCCCATTGACCAATAGCAGGTGTTTTTGAGATGGCTGTCAAATCTGTGCGTTGTGGAAAAAGGGAAATTTGCACAGAATTTCAGTGGCCTTGTTAGCACTGTCCACTAATCAGAAGAGCTAATACAAATTAGTTTTATGCTTCAGTATTTGCCTCTGTCTTGGCGTTAATTGGGTCTATCTATTATTGCCTTTAAAAAACACAATCTTCATCACAACAAAGAGGAAAGAAAAGAATGGCAGGGTTAGTGGATAGGCAGGGATGTTCCAAATATCTTTTCATAGGCTATGGGGGCGGGAGACAAGTGTTTTTCATATTACAGCAGACCCTCGAAGCCTAGACTGTTAGGGTTAGAAGGGAATTTTCTTAGAAATGTGTTTATAGGGAGTAAATCAGAATCCCCCCACATGTTGTTTGCAGAGAGCAATGTGGATCTTTTTGGTATGTAACCCCAACTTGTTCTCTTCTCTGTGTTGCCATGGAAACTTAGGAAGTGGGAAGTGTCTGTTTGCCGACAAGCAAACATTTTTACCCTGAGTTCCCAGGCACCTGTGGTTGTACTGGCACCATCAAGTTCAATGTCATGGGCACTTCAGAACTCTGGGTAAAAATGTCTGCTTGCCGATAAACAGTCACTTCTCACATCTGTCCCAAGTTTCTGCGGCAGTGCTCTGAGAGAAGAGTGAGTGGAAGTGACTTTCATTTTTAAAAGATGGAAGTAATTTTCTGCGTGTGTGGGTGGCATGCACACATGGAGGTATACACTTTCTTAGATTCTTTTGGTATTTTTGATATGAGAGGCCAAAGGCCATGGATCATACCAGCCTGGAGAGTACGATGAGCTGGTGTGTTCCATGTGGAAATTTCTCAGGAGCCTTGGCAACATGTCCTAGAATAAGATAGAGTACCACACCTGGAGTGAAGAAGACATGGGTTGAAATCCCACCTGAGACACTTGTGAGCTGTGTGACCCTGAACAAGTCAATTAACCCCACTTGGCCTCAGTTTCTCATTGGTAGGGAGGGTTGGTCCAGATGGTGTCTATGGTCACTTCCAAATCTTGGTTTATGACTATGATGTGTGAGCTTCACACATCCGGGTAAGCACCTGAAAGTCTTTCCTGGAAGTCTCAACCCACAGAGGTTGTCCCATCAATACACTTATTCTCCAGGCAGTCTCATCAATCCAAGTGTCTTTTCTGTTCCCAGCTGAGAAAGATTCCATGCGTGAGAGATCTTTCTGAGATGTATTTAAAAGGGAAACAAGACAAGGACATTCCAGATCTCCAAGACTGCTGTTGAGTCCCCACATTGACCAGGAGCAATCCATGTGTGTGAAGGAGATGATGGCAGCCTCCATTAAGGTTGTCTTTATCTTTCTCCTTTTCTCATGGCAGGCTTTATGGTCGGAAAATGATAAACAGCTTGATGTCAAACTCGAAGTTTGATGCATTCCTGAAACAGTCCCTCCCGTCTCATGACTTATGTAGTGTGATGGCAACCATCAAACAGAAGGTGAGTGCCAAGCACAAAAAGGGGGTCTGAGCTTCTGGCTAGGGGGAGGCCTGCTTGATGATGACTGAATGCAGCCTCTGGGAGATGATAGAAGAGTGGAGATTGACTGCCAAGATTCTGATACCAGAGAGGAATTTCAGGACAAGGGCATGGCTGGAAGTGGGGCAGGATTTTCACTCACTACTACTTTCTAAGATGGAGTAAATAGTTTGACATTCCTTATAATTTACTTCCTCCTAGTTTTCTTCCCTCCTTTTTATTTTTTTAATTTTTTATTTTTTTTAGGCAATTGAGGTTAAGTGACTTGCCCAGAGTTACACAGCTAGTAAGTGTCAAGTGTTTGGTCTGAGGTTGGATTTGAACTCAGGTCCTCCTGACTTCAGGGCCGGTGCTGTATCCACTGTGCCACCTAGCTGCCCCCTTGCTTCTCTTTTTGAGAGAGGTAGCCATGGTGGAGAAAAAAGAATGCTACACTAAGGGTCAAAAGCTCTCTTACCTTGTTGTGACCTGGGGGTGGTCACCTGACTTCCCTGGACCTCAGTCCTTTTCCTCTCAAATGAGGGGGTCAGACTAGCTGCCCTGGGAGGTCCCACCCAGCTTTAAATCTATGTTCATGTGAACTTATGCAGCTGTGTGAATTTGAGCAAGGTACTCCAGCTGGGTCTCAGTATCCTCTAATGTAAAATTGGTTAGAGTTCTTTCAGTGGCATGATCTTTAGTCTATTGATCACCCAGTTAATCAGGGTTCTTCCTAAAATGTGACACCCAGAGTTAACTTTCTTTCTGTTGAGCACATACTTATTCTCTCTGGGCCTCAGTTTCCTCATCTGTAAAATGAGAGGGCTCAACTAGACAACTTTTGAGATCCCTTTCACTTCTACAGCTATTATTTATATTCTTTCTTTACTTTTTAAAAATTTTGTTTTGTTTTGGCTTTTCTTGAGTCTTTAATTGCCAATCTCTTTAGGGAAACATACAGGGATTTTAAAGAATAATTCACATTTCCATGGGTGGCTTAAGTTTACGTGGCACTTTCTCCACAATAACTACATGACGTAGATAGGGCAAATATCGTTACCTCCATTTTATGGAGGAGAGAACTGAAGCTCAGACCAGTATGGTGACTTAGTCCCATAGTAAATAACAGCTAATTTTTGAACCTAGAATTCCTAAACTCCAAATTACAAACTAGCCAATTATAGAAGTTATAAAACGTATCCACAGTCCTTCATAAATCAAAGAACAAACATTTACCAAGCTTTTATTATGTGCTGGGCACTGTACTGGGCATACGAGAACAAAAAAAAAAAAAAACAACCCTTGCTTCCAAGCACTAACATTCTATAGCTGTGGAGGAAAAGCCAGGGCAAAACTTTTCTTAACTGACTTATCTCCTTCCTGACTCTGGAGACATCCAGGAAAGGCATGCATGCCACTCTCCCCTAGAGATGTTTCTGTCCTTTCTTTTCCTTGGAGTGAGTTTTGCTTACCCTTCCAAGAACTTGAAGCCCATGGTACAGAAAGTAAGTCTAAAAAGTCTGGTCTGTGAAGAGCCAAGACCCATTACTGGGTGGGCTGCTGTTTCTGTTGTGAAAACCCAACAATGGTGGTCGTCTTCTGTTTCATGGTCTTTAGGGTGCTTCTAGAATGGGCCTCTCCCTTCATAGGTTTCTGTATATATATGAATATACATACATATACATACATAAAAAAATTATATATATATATATAAATTTTTTTTTTTTTTTTTAGGGAGTGGAAGAAAACGTAGAGCCTCCACCTATCAGGGGCCACAAGATAATGAAGACCATAACAATCTCTGAGGACACCCGGCCTAGTGAACAGGGGTATGACACCACTTTTAAATGACAGAATTCTGATTTTAAGATCTATCACAGAGAGACTAACTAGGACCAGCCTGTGAAGGGAACCCTTATGTCCTGGTGGATTCTGAGAAATAACCTTGCGGGAAGGAAAATAGGTCTTGGGGCACATGGGGCTAAAGGGAGAATTTACAGATCAATACTTGCATGAATATATTGGTGCTAATATATGAAGGAGTTGGGAGTCCTCCCGTATACAATGCTCTGAGTCCTATTTTTCACTGAATTTGAATAAATTGGAGCAAAGTCTGTACTCTTTTAATGTGTTTCAGCACAGCTATTTTATCTTTATAGTGGCTGCTCTTAAGATTGTAGAGTTTGAGCTAGGAGGGTCCCTGGAGGTCATCTAGGGACCTCATTTTACAGATGAGGAAAAGGAGACCAAGAAAGACTAAATGAGTTTGCCCAAGGTCACAAGAGTAGGAAATGGAGAAACTGGAAATTGATACCCAGGCCTTCTTACTCCAAATTTTCTTTCTTTCTCTTTCTTTCTTTCTTTTCCTTCCTTCCTTCCTTCCTTCCTTCCTTCCTTCCTTCCTTCCTTCCTTCCTTCCTTCCTT